ATGGAACTAAACAGTTGACGGTAGCCATTGACTTCCATAGAATAGAAAAACATGGAACTAAACAGTTGATGGTAACCATTGACATCCATAGAATAGAAAAAACATGGAACTAAACAGTTGACGGTAGCCATTGACTTCCACATAATAGAAAATATGGAACTAAACAGTTGACGGTAGCCATTGACTTCCATAGAATAGAAAAAAAAAAGAACTAAAAAGTTGACGGTAGCCATTGACTTCCACAGAATAGAAAAAAAAAAGGAACTAAACAGTTGACGGTAGCCATTGACTTCCAAAAAAAAAAAAAAAATATGGAACTAAACAGTTGACGGTAGCCATTGACTTCCATACTATGGAAAAAATACTATGGAAGTAAATGGCTACCGGCAACTGATTTTATGTTCAACAGAAGAAAGAAACGTACACAGGTTTGATACTACTTGAAGGTGAGCAAGTGATGACAGTATTTTCTTTTTTGGGGGGTGAATTATCACAACATGAACACATTTAACTACGTAATGTGATTAATTTCTGAGTAAAAGCATCATATTCAATGAGAGAAAAGAAATGTGCTGTACCTGTTAGGAATTATAAAAGGAAATGGGAGTTACTTACCAGAACGAACGTCGAGAGGAAAGCTGATTCAGGCAGAAAAACTATATATGAATAGAGCAGCTCACAGTCTCACACTGCTGTCACAGACTCAGGGTTTACATCTCTTCATACTCCATCAACAAAGGAACACGATCACATGTCAGGATGTTTTATTTTCTGTGTGTTTGTTCAAATATACAGAAGTCTCCAACAGTCGTTATTTGGGCCCAATATTGTTTCCCAAATCATTTACTCTAGTGAGGGAGCTACAGATAATATATTTAAATGATCCTGCACAATGCTTATTTTTATACCAAATCAAATAACACCTTTTCTAAATGATTGTCAATCTGTTTAAACTGGATTTCAGTGTTTTTTCTGAAGGTACCGCATCTGCATTACTGATGTGCATGTTCATATCATTCAGTCTCTCCCTATTATACAAAGATATAAATGAAGATTAACTGCTGAATATCATCCATTTATTATGTTTTCTGTAATATAAATGACATTAAATTTAATGTTTAACTAAACAAGGTTTATCATTTGCACTATTTATGTAGTTGGCATCAATAAATACAAAACTAATGCAAACATGCCACTACTGAGCTAGGGAATAATATTTATACTTAATGTATATCCATTCAATGCATTTCTATTTTTTTTCCCAGGATTTTAAATCATGATTTAATTTTAAAGTGAATGTGGACTTTAATTCTAAAAGATCCTTATTTGTCTTATTAACCGCGTGTATAACTGAAGCTGACCTCATTTAAAGTTCATCCGAAAATGAACATTAGCTGTAAACGTGCTCACCCTCAGTTCATCTGAGATCAGGATGAGTTTGTTTCTTCATCAGGTTTGTAGAAATGCAGCACTGCATCAGTGTCTCAGCAATGGATGCTCTGCAGTGAATGGGTGCCGTCAGAATGAGAGTCCAAACAGCTGATAAAAACATCACAATAATCCACAAGTAATCCACAGCACTCCAGTCCATCAGTTAACATCTGGAGAAGACAAAAGCTGAAACAAATCCAGCATTAAGACGTTTTTAACTCAAATACGAGTCCATAATCCATAATAACTCTTCCTCCAGTGAAAAAGTGGTCTGATCTGAATCAGGAGAGAAATCTGCACAGATCAAACACCATTTACAATCCAAAACAGCTCTAAACAAATATGTGGCTAGATTTTGATGTGAGAGACAACAGCAGATGCACTTTTTCACTGGAGGAAGCGTTATTATGGATTATGGACTCTATGGTTTTTTAGTTAAAAACGTCTCAATGCTGTATTTGTTTCAGCTTTTGTCTTCTCCAGATGTTAACTGATGGACTGGAGTGCTGTGGATTACTTGTGGATTATTGTGATGTTTTTATCAGCTGTTTGGACTCTCATTCTGACGGCACCCATTCACTGCAGAGCATCCATTGCTGAGACACTGATGCAATGCTACATTTCT